TATATAGATAAACAATGATCATGGTTAAACGTACATAATCACTTTATATTTGTGGAACGCTCGTTTGTTTACAAAGAAATTTTGAAATACGTGATACCGATCGATAAAATAAGATTAATGTTTTCACTGAAATTAAACATTGTAATGCACTGATTACTGTCTATTTGTTTTTTTTCATGTCTCCCTTCAGAGTTGAAATTATGTCGGAAACTCCAACATCATTATTAGTTATTGGAGCTGGTCTGCCAAGAACCGGAACGTTGAGTATGAAAAAGGCATTGGAAATAATATACTCTCAACCTTGTTATCATGGTTATGAACTTGTGACCAGAAAACAATGTGACATTGCTAAATGGAAAATGCTTGTCGATGAAGTACGAACGACACATAATGAGGGGAAGATACATAGATATTTGAATGAGCTATTAGTCGGTTATTTAGCTGTTACTGATGTCCCATCGTGTACACTCTACAGGGAGCTGATGAGTATATATCCTAATGCAAAGGTACGATAATTGGTATATTATTATGATTTACGATTTTTGAGAATTTATACTCACTGTGAAGCATTGTGAAAGTCGTGAATGACTATTCGTTATAAAACTGTAATGAATGGTTTAACTCGGCTGCTGAAAGTTAATATTTATGTACTTATAACATTAAAGTTCAAGATTGAAGTTATCTCGAAAATTTACTCAATCGCTCAAACAAACGTTATTCCTAAAATAGACCAAAATAATGTTTTGGTATATATCTTTGATTTTTAAAACGCGTTATTTCTATATCGATAATACCTTAAATCTCGTTTTATACAGGTTGTACTAACAGTACGCGATAAAAACGATTGGTTGACTAGTTTCCGACAAGTGGTCATGCCTAAATCAGATGATCCACGTAAAATACACATGGATGAGGGGAAAAGACGTGCAGGGGTCCCCATCGAATTGGACAAACTGCTTACTGATTCATTGAAACTAGCATTTCAGAAGGAAGATATTGATTTTGATGATGATGCAATGTTACTTGAATGCTACGAAAAACATAACAAAACTCTTCAGGAAAATATACCACCTACACGTCTTCTGGTACATCGATTTGGAGATGGCTGGGAACCATTGTGTAGATTCTTGAATGTGGATGTACCAGCTAACATATCATACCCCGTGGCTAATAATCAGTCTGACTTGCAAAGGCTACGGGAATTAATAAAGAAATCTGGATCGATTGAGGCAGCCGCTAGAATGCATTCAGAAATTATATAAAATTGAATTAAATACTAATTGTGTTAAACCTTGATGTTATTATTAGCCAAAACATAAATTGTCACAAAGCTTTGAATTCCGTCTTCTTATTGACAATCATGACAATGTTAGTGAAATATGTAGTCAGTATAATATACTACAATTTTGAATTAATTCATTATTTTATTGTCACACATCACAATGTACATCGAAACAACTTGTTTATAACAGTCAAATAACTGAATGTAGGAATGATGTTATGAAGGTCGTCACCAAAAGATTCAGGTTTGTGAGGAAATATTTTGATAGCATTTGTGAGTACAGTGGATGTTTTTGAGCAAAGACATGAAAATATCGATTAAAGTTATACAGAACAAGATAGATCTCGAAGGTATTCAGTCGTTTATTCTACAAATAAAATTATCTGGTCTGTTTGACGATGTTCTGTTCGTAGGTGGTAATTGCTAAAGAGGTGACCGATACACTGGCTGACCTAATCTGCATTCGTTACTGTGTACGAAACTTTGACATTCATACGTATTTATCTGTGGACTACTCACCCAGCTTTACATTATGGCCAGTGGCTTCAGTGAAAGAGAATTTTCGCCAACTTCCAAGTCAACTAAAAGGTCAAATCCTGTAACTCCTACTTCTGACGATTCCGTACATCACAGTGTCATACGCATCTTATCCACAAATATCACTATCAATGCCTGACTGTTCGTGTCACAACCTTTCTTCCACTCAAATTAGCAAAAGTTATCAGAGTATCAGTCACTCCAATCACAATCAAGATGCCACAAATAGTAATAAATATGATATTAACAGGTTTATCACTCCTAAACTTTTCTCTATTCTTCGGGATTACAATTGTAATTACTCTAGGATAGAAAACATTTCGGAGATTATTCCCTCCCCCACCTGTTGAATAATCTCTTCAAACAACTTCATTGGCCCATTCTATATTTTCCGCAACGAATGTTCTCAACGAAATGAACTATCAAGGAACAAACATCCTGTCGCTTTAAGAACATCTCTATCGCTCCCTTCCAGTTGTATTAGCTCTGTGACTGACTCTTACGAACAATTAGCAAACACCTCATTCACTTACTCGTCCTGTTCTACCACAGCTGTTCCTGTGGATCTTAGGGATGAAGCATCTCTATTCCTTACAACGACTACCATATCTCTCAACAGAAGACCAGCGACTTATTATAAAGAATCATCCACAAATCTCAATCGCATCAACATTGAACTAAATAACCGTTCAATCATTAGATTGGATGCCGATTTATCTAATTTGATTATACCTTCATAGCTTTCAATCGTTTTATTCAGTTAACGCTCTTTCGGCAATAAGATGGGTAATCTCAGATCTCTAGCTTATCTGATCAATTCATGCTGTATTTTAATTACTGAAAACAAGTGCTCACATGATATTTTTTATTTAAGACTGTGTTGGTGACTACAAAATATATCTTTAAGGTTGGGGGCTGAATAATAAATGTGCAATCAGGTACTGTTTACGCTATAATTTTTCAGGAGGGTTGTAAATTGTTAGACGATGCTATATTATTCACCATAGATATTGTAGCGGTAAATAAATCCCCAAAATAAATAGCATTAAGTTTTCGACATTGGATGCTGACCATATGTTTTAGTGGACTCACCTAGCTGAAGGCGCTCGGTCAGGCATCCGCACCAGATCACGTGTGGTAACGCCGTGCTCAACATCAACCGCAATCGCTAACCAGATTAGATCAGAGAATTCCGATATATTGGTCATCGCCAAATATACTCTTCCGATCTCCTCGACTCTGTCTTTTGATTTCTCTGGGCGGGAACGAAATATATTAGAAGGTGTTACTGGTAGAAGCGTTGTCAAACACTGAATACCTGTGACATCATTGGTGAGCCCGACGTGATCTGGTACACCTAATTGCAACTGTGAGTCTGTTCCTTTTTGGGATTTTTATATATCATTGCCTTATTTTTTTATTTTTTTTAAACATTGTGATTTTTTTTCGTGTTTTTTTCTGGATATATATATATTTTCCCCTCGTTCATTATCGTACTTCATACTTCATCATGACTGAACAGACACCTAAAGTACTCAAGCTTAAGACTTTGTCCCCGCCTTCGTTTCAACTGATGCCTTTCTGGCCCGACAACATCGAAGCCTGGTTTTGCTACGCAGAAGCCGACTTCCACGAGCACGGCGTAATCGACACACGTGCACAATTCCTCGCAGTAGTCAAGGCACTACCGCGCGAATTCAACAGGTACGTAACACCTAGTATGTTTACTAGTGATGTTTCCGATCCTTACGAAATCTTAAAACGCTCGATTCTTAAACGAGGAGACCTAACCGATCGACAAAGGTTAGATCAACTCTTCAATAACATCGACCTGCAACACGGTTCTGCGACGGACATGTTGCAACGGATGAGAGAGGTAATAGGCCCAAGAACTTTCGACGAAGGCCTATTCAAACAACTCTTCTTGTCAAACACTGAATACCTGTGACATCATCAATATTTTCGCCCTTCAGCATTTCTTAACACGTTGCATCTATTGTCCACCGAATGCCGCTCGTCCAATGGATACACATGTGGGTCAAGTGGGGATCCATCACGTGGTCCTTCTTATTTCGAAAAATGCATCAAAGTACCAAGAACAAACAGTTGTGTTTTAATCTTGAGATTTGACTGGACTTAACCGCTCGAATTATGACAGAAGAAATCATGCATGCGTTGTTTTGATTATGTTCTTATGAAATTCGGAAACTAACAGGAGTTGCGAAAAACTTTCTTTGTTAAACATGGCTTTTCAGCTATTCTCAATATCCAATCTGTATTTAGCAATATTATAATCTTTCGGGTTGATCGCCTCCTCCCACTTCACCCTCAAGATGTTACATTTGGAGGTAGAGCAAATGTTTGGATTGCTTTATCAATACCATGATGTGATTAACGAACAATTGTGTTCCGCCATATGAACTTCGAAAAACAAGTACTTGTCATCGAATTCGAGTGCTGGAATATCTGACCCATTTTATTTCCAGATGATTACGGTTCAGTCGAGTGAGCTGATGAAATTGCGCTCGGATTATCCTTTTCACTAACATACTTATTCACACCCATTAAATGGATTTCAGTGGATACTTCACCGTCTAATTGGTACATGGTGAATCATTTTGCACAAACGTATCCAAGATTGATTATCACTTATGAAAACACATGACCATTTAATTGCCTAGCCTTTCCTTTAGCCAACTACAATGAACGAAAACCTGATTATATGTTAACTTTCGGAGATAAATGGGTTTTGAAGAACACCAAAGTGTCACATGTGCTTCATCGGGATTATCGATAATATTCCATTTCATTTGAATGAGCAATGTGAGATACTGCGCAACACAGTTGCTTAGGCATTCAGCAAATGTAGTCAGGATGGAACGCGTAGCCAGCGGTTTCAACTCATGTACATTAGTGGACCTATTATTCACACCGAATTGTTACGGGAGAACTGAAGACATTTGGCGGATTAAAACCTTTTGTTGTACATTAATAATTTACTGTGATTTTGGATGTAATTGTTTTACCTAACTTGGAACTTGTTTGTTTATATCATTATTTCGGACATTTTGGTTTGGTATTTTGGTGCTCTCTTTGTCTTCGGTTTGGTATTTGGAAGTTTTGCTCCGGGAACCTACAAAATTGAAGGTTTGTTTTGTAATTGTTATAATTATTGTTGTTAGAACGACATTTGGTCGATTATTTGTGAATTACGAATAAATTTGGTATCTAAATTGGAACTTGGTTCTGTTGTTAATTTGGGTTCGTAATTTGCAAGTAGATCGATAGTCCGTACTTCAATAACTGGAACGAGCAAAACTTGGACGTAACATAAAGTTCTTCAATTATTGGTTCTGTGTTCATACCTTGGATTTGTCTGGATATTTTGGGTGCAGATTCCTGGTCGATTTCGTTTAGATTAATTCAGAATTGTTTTGGTAATCGATTTCTTTGGAACAATCAATACGATGGAAACGCGGAGCAAAAGGCTGAAGGAAAATGACAAAATGGATGGTAAAATTCCTAATGCTGTTTGTGGTATGTCTGATGTTAATGATGATAAATGTGATGATGTTAGTCTTAATAGTATGTCCTCTAGCCAGCTAAGTATTTCTAGATTAAAGTTAGATAAAGCATTACTGAGGAAAAGGGATTTAGAGAAGAGACTTGAGTTAGAACGGCAACTTAAGATGTTAGATCTACAAGAAGAGGTTGATATCGCTGAACTAGAATGCAAGGCCATCGAGGACGACGAACGATTACCCGTAGATAAATGTGGGATAAATGCTAAAGTGGAAAATTATTTGGATTGTGATACTGGGTGTAATAATCACTCAGGGGAGGTATGTAACATCTGAAAAGTCGATTGGGTTGGGGAGCTGAAGGACACGTTACATACAATGGTTAGTAACATGGTTTTACCTAAGATCGATATGATGTACTTTGATGGGCAACCGGGTCAGTATTACCGTTTCATTAGTCAGTTTAATAGCCTTATAGATAGTAAACTGTCAGGTAAGGGCCAATTGTTATCGTATTTGTTATATTATTGCAAGGGAAAGGCCAGAACAGCAATTGAATCTTGCGTTTCTTTGCCCAGTCATTTGGGCTCTGATAGGGCTAAACGAATTTTGTATGATTTATTTGGTAAAGAACATCTTGTTGCACGAGAACTAATTATTGAGTTATTAAACCATAAACCTGTCGGAGGATCGGCTGACGTGTTAACTGACTTTGCGATTAAGTTGCGAAATGTATGTATAACGTTGAAGCAAATGGGATATATGTCTGACGTTAATTCTACGGCTAATTTGTAGGTAATAGTTTCATGCCTACCACTGGAATTGCAGAATAAGTGGGTGGAAGTCGCCAATAAGATCATGATGCATGGGAAGGAGCCGAGCTTTGAAGAATTTGTGGTCTTTGTAGAAGAGAAAGCCAGAATTGCCCAAACCCGTTATGGTAGATTAGTACAGTGTAACTCAAGGTTCGGTAAAAGGAATTCTGAAGGCCAAGCTGATAGGAGATCACGCTTTCATGCAATTAGACGAGACCCAAATAACTCAGTCAAGGTAACACGTGAAATCTGCGTAGGTGATCATGAGGCGACAGATTGTCCAAGGTTAGCAAAAATGAATGTAAAAGAAAGGAGGCAGGAGGTAAGAAAACGTGGTCTATGCTACTTATGTTTGAGGAAAGGTCACATAGCTATGACATGCAACTCAGGCATCAAGTGCGACGTTGAGAATTGCAAGGTTAGGCATAATTCATTATTGCATATTGATAGTATTGATAACCATGTGGTGAACCTAGCTAAGGATTGGAACTCCTCAAAGGTTTGTTTGGGGATCGTTCAGTTCAGACTATACGGTCCCAAAGGATGTTTGGAAACATATGCACTTCCAGATAGTGGTTCGGACACTTCTCTTGTATGTGAAGAATTAATTAATCAGATGGGTATCAAAGGTGAAGAGACTTCGATAAAGGTGGCGACTGTGAACGGAACTACTAATTGTGAATGTTTGGAGGTAAATTTAGAGGTATTTTCATTAGATGAACGGGGTTCTATAAGGATCAACAAAGTTTACACGACCAAGAAACTTCCGATCGATCATGCAGCACCTTTAACCGAACTCCAACTGAAACGGTAGAAACATCTAAAGGACATAACCCTTCCGAGGTTGCAAAGTAATTTTGTAGGAATATTGATTGGGTGTGATGCTCCGGATGCACATCGGGTCCTGGAACAACGCCTGGGGGACAGGAAGCATCCGTTTGCTGTGCGTACTCATCTTGGTTGGATGATTATAGGTCCTAAGGGAGTATCAAGGTCTCTACATCAAGTTCAGTGGTGTCATTGTTCCACTGATGATATTTTGCGAGATTTAGAAGGACTATATTATCATGAGTTCGAGGATACAGATACGTTTCGTAATGGATATTCTGTCGAAGATAAAAAAGCTCTAGAAATAGTTAGCAGTTCGTTTAGATTGGAGGGTGGTCATTTCCAAGTTGGTCTACCATAGAAGTATGATAAACCAAGGCTACCGAATAACTTGGAACTGGCTGAACGCAGACTAGAATGCTTAAGGAAGAGGTTTATGAAAGATAACAGTCTTTTGGAGAAATATCAAGTTGTGATGAATAAACATTTAAGTAAGGGCTACATCATTGAAGCTAGTGAAGAGGGATTTGACTATGGTGCTGTTTGTTGATATATTCCTCATCATCCTGTTATCAACCCTAAAAAGCCTGGAAAATTGTTTTTGATTGTGCGGCTGTCTATCAAGGTTGTTCTCTTAATGACCAGCTTTTGAGAGGACCGAATACTGTAAATAGTTTAATTGGTGTACTTCTACGATTCAGATTAGGTAACGTAGCATTAGCTGCTGATATCGAAGAGATGTTTCTTCAAGTAAAGATTCCGAGACAAGACAAGGGAGCATTTCGTCTATTGTGGTGGGAAGACGGTGATATACGACGAACGGCTAAGGAATATTGTTTAACAGTTCATCCGTTTGGAGCCGTGTCCTCTCCCTTTTGCGCTAATTTCGCTCTTAAGAAGACGGTAGATATGTTCGGTAAGGAATTCAATGAAGATATCCAGGATGTCGTAGATAAGAGTTTCTATGTCGACGACTATTTAGCCTCTATTAATAATGTACAGGATAAAATTGAGCTGGCAAAGGCCCTTGGTTCTCTCCTCAGAAAAGGTGGTTTTAGACTTACCAAGCGGATAAGTAACTGTTTACAAGTTCTCGAATCAATTCATCCAGAAGAGAGGGCAGAAGCCATAAGACAGATTGACTTTGAAAGACTTCCTACGGAACGCACGTTGGGATTATTTTGGAATACTTTGGTTGATTCGTTTGAATTTGAAGTTCACATACCGAAGCGCCCCCTCACTAGGCGAGGTATATCGTCAAGTGTAGCCTCACTTTACGATTCTCTGGGATTGGTAGCACCGTTTATACTTCCCATGAAGCAGTTACTTCAACGTTTAGGTAAATCGGGACTAGGATGGGACGAAGAGATTCCAAATGAGGAAAGCAAACGTTGGTTAGAGATTATAAGTGAATTTCAGAGGGTTGAGAACGTTAGTTCTCCACGTTGTGTATTGTTTCCGCAGTCAGATCGTTCGCTCCTGGAACTTCATATTTTCAGTGATGCCTCGGAAACTGGATATGGTGCAGTGGCATACGTCCGCTCTTACATTTCTGACACTGAAATATGTTCTCATCTTGTTACGGCTAAGACAAGAGTAGCCCCCTTGAAGGTCCAAACTATACCGAGCTTGGAACTTACGGCAGCAGTTTTAGCAGCTCGCATGGGATCCCAGCTGCAGTCAGAATTAGATATTAAGTTTGCAGAGGTTAATTTTTGGACGGATTCCTTGATTGTCTTACACTATATTAGAAATGAGAAAAGCCAGTTTAAAACATTCATAGCGAGTCGAATTTCGACTATTCACAGTCTTACTAAGGTGGACCAATGGAGATTCGTACCTTCTAAAGAAAACATAGCAGACTTTGCATGCAGAGGGGTCAAGTTTGACATCGATGATGTCAAGGTATGGGAGGAGGGTCCACGCTTTCCTAAGAAGCCGAAGGAGTGTTGGCCTGCCGCTGATGTACAAGGTCCTGACCCCCATCTCTTGGAAATAAAGAAGACAATGTCGGCGCATGTAATGGCTGAAGAACCCACTGTTGATCAACTTATTAATTATTATTCAGATTGGACTAGATTACTTAAGGCTGCTGCGTGGTTAACCCGATTTAAGCGATATTTACTGGTAATGCGTTCTGGTAGAACTGATCTGTGTCTACAGGTGGGTATGCTTAGATTTGATGAGTTAAATTTCGCTTGTTTAGATTTAATTCGATATGTCCAACACATAGTATTTCGGGAAGAGATTGAAATGTTATCGTCTGATACCATTAGCAAGGTGAAGATAACGAATTCACCGTTACGAACTTTAAATCCAATGATGATTGGGAGAAGGGCTCTATGTTCTGCGGACTCGAATAGTTGTTTGTGTGTGAATATGCAATGGTGCCTGAAGCCATGTGTTATGGTTATTCACTTTCTAAAAGAACTAGAAGGGTCCAACAATGTTACGATTTGGAATCAGAATAAAGAGTTCGCGGTAAATAAAGGAATTAATGGATTGGTCCTCTATATGGGTTTATATATCCATGTTTACGTTAGCGTATATGAGCTTCTATGGAGGATGAAGCATTTTGTTAGATGGTTGATATTGCGGTTGTTTATGTTGGGGCAAATATTTTGGAAACGTTTGTCTAAAGAATATGTTTCATTGTTGCAACTTAGACACAAATGGACTCAACCAAAGATGAACATAGGAGAGAGTAACTTGGTGACATGTACTGGGTTTTTAGAGAAAGACAAATGGTTATTAGGTCTGGTAAGGAAAGTGATACCTAATAGTGATAGGTTAAGACCGATGGAGTTGCGGACAAGCGAAGGGATCTTGGTAAGAGATATTAGAAAACTGCGTCTAGAAGTTGAAGATATTAGGTAGCTACTCCGATCCCTAGGCGTACTGGTGTAAGTCCTAGGGATCACGAGATTGTTGGTATATTAAGTGTCTGTTGTTGATTGTTTGTGATGCATATACTTGGATTCTTGTTGTCTATTTATTTGCCTGAAAGAACCAAGCTTCTTTTGGTCGGGAGTGTTACGGGAGAACTGAAGACATTTGGCGGATTAAAACCTTTTGTTGTACATTAATAATTTACTGTGATTTTGGATGTAATTGTTTTACCTAACTTGGAACTTGTTTGTTTATATCATTATTTCGGACATTTTGGTTTGGTATTTTGGTGCTCTCTTTGTCTTCGGTTTGGTAATTGGAAGTTTTGCTCCGGGAACCTACAAAATTGAAGGTTTGTTTTGTGATTGTTATAATTATTGTTGTTAGAAGGACATTTGGTCTGTTGATGTCACAGATATTCAGTGTTTGACAACGCTTCTACCAGTAACACCTAATATATTTCGTTCCCGCCCAGAGAAATCAAAAGACAGAGTCGAGGAGATCGGAAGAGTATATTTGGCGATGACCAATATATCGGAATTCTCTGATCTAATCTGGCTAGCGATTGCGGTTGATGTTGAGCACGGCGTTACCACACGTGATCTGGTGCGGATGCCTGACCGAGCGCCTTCAGCTAGGTGAGTCCACTAAAACATATGGTCAGCATCCAATGTCGAAAACTTAGTGCTATTTATTTTGGGGATTTATTTACCGCTACAGATCACTCCCCCCCCTAGTGGGGCAGTGACGACCCTAAGACGTGGCCAGCCAGAAGTTTAAACCCAACGAGTTTGTCGTTGGTAAACACTCTTCTGATAGCTTACTAAATTTAGCAGCGTCTGGTCGTCTTTCCTTACTATATGGGACGGAGGTACAACATAGTAAAAAAAGAAAATGTACATGGAAAATTTCGGATCCTCATAAACGTCATCGTTCTTTTCCAGCCGTCCTGGAAAAGAAAAAGAAAATGTAAGTGCATGTCGAAATACACTCGTATGTGCGTAAAAGCACAATGTCGGCGGAAAAAAATGGAAAATAAACTCATGAACACGTAATAGCGTTAAAAAAATTGTTTTTTTGTTTTGTTTTTTTTTAAATAGAAATAAAAATATATAAGCATATTAAAATTGTTTTTTTTTTAAAAAAAATAATATAAAATGTCGAGAAGTGCCTTACGTGCAATAGTCGTTTAGATGTTCTGGAAATCTCACCCTTCTTCCAGAACGCGTCGTTTTAAGTTTATTTTCGGATACTGTCGAAGTATCATCGTGTGTGTTGGTTGTCGGATGAGGTATTATAAGTGTCGGAGTCGTGTCGTTCGATTGTACCGAAGGAAAATCCACGTAGATAGGATTTCCTTCTAAATACACTGCTTTTAAGCGATCGATACTGATGCTATCGTTGGTTCCGTTCTTATCGACTATATAGTACTTAGATTCACGTTGAAGAACTTTGAAGGGTCCTTCGTATGCTGATTCGAAGGGTCGTCGATGCGAGTCTCGACGAACGAAAACGTGTGTACTATATCGTAAGCCAGGTTGAACGAAAACATCAGTTGATTGAGGTCGAGTGGAAGGAGGTTTAACTGAACGCATTGCGTTTGTAAGCCTGTTCGTGTAGGAGGTTAGATCCATGTTCATTGAAGAGGATGAAGGATCCACGAATTCTCCTGGAAGTCGAAGTGTCGTACCATAAACGAGTTGAGACGCAGTGTATCCAATGTCAGCTTTCACTGCATTGCGGATACCTAGTAAGACGAGTGGAAGAGCGTCGGTCCACTGTGAAACGTTTGCAGCTGATAGCGAAGCTTTCAGTTGTCGGTGAAAACGTTCTACCAACCCGTTTGCTTGTGCATGGTAGGCGGTCGTTCGGAATCGAGTGATTCCTAAAAGTGTGGTCAGACGACGGAAAAGATCGGATTCAAACTGACGTCCGCGGTCTGTAGTGATGGTTGAAGGGCAGCCGAAGTTTGCTACCCATCGTTCGACGAAGATGCGGGCCACTGTTTCAGCAGTGATGTCCTTGATAGGTACTGCTTCTGGCCATCGAGTGAAACGGTCTACGCAGGTTAAGAGATAAGAGTATCCATTTGAATCTGGTAAAGGTCCTACCAAATCCAGATGAACATGGTCGAAACGAGCATCGGGAGTTTTAAACGAGCCTAAGGGACATTTATTGTGTCTGATAACCTTAGATTTTTGGCAGCTTACACAGGAGCGTGCCCACTCCCTCACGTCTTTATTCATTCCAGGCCAGCAAAACCTTTCTGCTATAAGCTTGATGGTTGCACGAACACCTGGATGCGAAAGTTTGTGCAATGTGTTGAAGACATTGCGTCGATAATGTTTCGGCACGATTGGGCGATCCCTACCTGTAGATGTGTCACAAAGTAAGGTTTCCTTACCCGTTCCCATCTGTTTGATGCGTAGTTTAAGTGTTGTGGACGATAACTCGTGCTGAAGATCACTGTCTTCTTTTTGAAGCTCGGCGAGTTTAAGAAGGTCGATTCCTTGGAAACTGTTCAAGGAAGTTATACGAGATAAAGCGTCTGCAACTACATTGTTTGCTCCAGAGATGTGTTGAATATCTGAAGTAAACTGCGAAATGTAGTCCAGTTGTCGAGACTCACGTGGAGAGTACTTGTCAGAAAGAGAGCTTAACGAGAAAGTGAGCGGTTTATGGTCCGTGAAAAGAGTGAATTCACGGCCTTCGATGTAGTGTTGGAAATGCCGTACAGCACAATACATAGCTAGGAGTTCCCTACCGAATGTGCTGTACCTCGATTCGGTGTCTAGCAACCGTCTAGAGAAAAATGCCAAGGGTTGCCAGGAGTTGTTAACCCATTGTTGTAAGACTCCTCCGATTGCCGAGTCGGATGCGTCTACTGCGATGCTAATGGGTGCTCGGGTGTCCTGATGTGCGAGCATCGTTGCTTTAGCAATCAGTTCCTTAACTGTGGAGAATGCTTTTCGTGCCGTGTCGTCCAAATTAATGGATTTCGCATTTCCACGAAGTTGGTCGGTCAGAGGTTTCATAAGTAATGCGCATTTCGGTATGAAACGTCTATAGAAACTTACCAGGCCGTTAAACGTGCATAATTGCTTGACAGTGGTCGGTTCTGGGTAATCCAGAATGGCCGCCACTTTGGTCCTAAGAGGTCGAATGCCTTGAGCATCGATAGTGTGTCCTAGGAAGTCTAACGAGTCGGTTCCGAATTGGCATTTCTGAACGTTTACAGTTATGCCATGTTTTTGAAGTCGTTCGAAAACAAGATCCAGATGCTTGAGATGTGTTTCTCTGTCCGGACTTGCGATTAGACAGTCGTCAACATACGCGTGTACGAAGTTGAGACCTCGAAAAACGTCGTCTATGAATCTTTGGAATGTTTGAGCAGCATTCCTTAGACCGAAAGGCATTCGCAAAAATTCATAGAGTCCGAAAGGAGTTATGATAGCTGTTTTCGGTATGTCGCCAGTAGCCATAGGGATTTGGTTATACGCTTTAACCAAGTCGATTTTCGAAAAGACAGTTGTACCTTTCAAGGTAGCTGTCAAATCGTGAATGTGAGGCAACGGGTAACGATCGGGAATGGTTTTCGCGTTCAATCGCCGATAGTCACCAGTTGGACGCCAATCGTTGCTGTCCTTTTTAGGGACCATGTGCAACGGAGATGCATATGGGCTACTTGACGGTCGTATGATTCCTAAGTCCATCATGTGATCGAATTCGTTTTTCGCTAACCTTAGCTTTTCAGGAGCTAGTCGTCGTGCTTTAGAGAATACAGGTGGTCCTGTAGTCGTGATGTGATGTGTAACATTGCTGGTTACACACGGTAGTTTCGGTTGAGTTTGTTGTATCCCAGGGTACTTATCGAGTAGTGGTTGATAGAGTGGGTCTATCATATGTTTAACTGTGACTGGGGATACTCTACAACCAGTAAAGGAAGTTACGCAAACGGACAAATTAGTGTTTCCGTCTACTAGCCTCCGTTTGCGAGTGTCGATGATCAGATTGTGGTGTTGTAGAAGGTCCATACCAATGATTGGCATAGAAACATCTGCAACAACGAAAATCCAGTGGATGGGTTTGCGTAAACCCACGTTAAGGTAAACGTACCTTTTGCCATACGTAGCGATAGGTTTTCCGTTTGCCGCCTGTAAGTTAAAAGCCGATTCCTGAAGCCGGTCGTTAGGATTTGCTGGGAGAACGCTAACTTCTGCGCCAGTGTCGACGAGGTAGCGAACTCTCGTTGTCACATCTGTGACGAATAACAGACGGCTATGTTCGCCGGCTACGGTTGCCGTTAACGCGTGCCGGCTTGGAAGTTTCCCGAATTGCTTTTCGAATCAGTCGGTTTCGTGTTGGGAAAATTGCAGGGTTTTCTGCAATTTCTGGAAAACTTTCCATACTGGTTATGATACCAGCACCAGTCGGGGTTATCTGTCTCTCGTGGTCTAGAGACAGATCGCTTACGAGAAATGCTTCTACGTGGTGTGCGCGATCTCTTACGGTCGGTACGAAGACTAAGATAACGCGTGAGTATGTGACATAGGTCGTTTATATCATTCTGAGTCGTTTGAGGTTTTTCTTTGACTGAAAATACCTCGGTAGTAGATTTCGTAATTTCTAATATGCGGTCGGCAGATGCAGCTAGCTCGTCTAAGGCATTGTTCTGGAACGAGACCAGAACTGCTTGCACCTGTTGGGGAAGTTTTGACAAGAAGAGTTGTTTGAATAGGCCTTCGTCGAAAGTTCTTGGGCCTATTACCTCTCTCATCCGTTGCAACATGTCTGTCGCAGAACCATGTTGCAGGTCGATATTGTTGAAGAGTTGATCTAACCTTTGTCGATCGGTTAGGTCTCCTCGTTTAAGAATCGAGCGTTTTAAGATTTCGTAAGGATCGGAAACATCACTAGTAAACATACTAGGTGTTACGTACCTGTTGAATTCGCGCGGTAGTGCCTTGACTACTGCGAGGAATTGTGCACGTGTGTCGATCACGCCGTGCTCGGAGAAGTCGGCTTCTGCGTAGCAAAACCAGGCTTCGATGTTGTCGGGCCAGAAAGGCATCAGTTGAAACGAAGGCGGGGACAAAGTCTTAAGCTTGAGTACTTTAGGTGTCTGTTCAGTCATGATGAAGTATGAAGTACGATAATGAACAAGGGGAAAATATATATATCCAGGAAAAAACACGAAAAAAAATCACAATGTTTAAAAAAAATAAAAAAATAAGGCAATGATATATAAAAATCCCAAAAAGGAACAGACTCACAGTTGCAATTAGGTGTACCAGATCACGTCGGGCTCACCAATGATGATGTCACAGGTATTCAGTGTTTGACAACGCTTCTACCAGTAACACCTTCTAATATATTTCGTTCCCGCCCAGAGAAATCAAAAGACAGAGTCGAGGAGATCGGAAGAGTATATTTGGCGATGACCAATATATCGGAATTCTCTGATCTAATCTGGCTAGCGATTGCGGTTGATGTTGAGCACGGCGTTACCACACGTGATCTGGTGCGGATGCCTGACCGAGCGCCTTCAGCTAGGTGAGTCCACTAAAACATATGGTCAGCATCCAATGTCGAAAACTTAGTGCTATTTATTTTGGGGATTTATTTACCGCTACAGGTCGATTATTTGTGAATTACGAATAAATTTGGTATCAAAATTGGAACTTGGTTCTGTTGTTAATTTGGGTTCGTAATTTGCAAGTAGATCGATAGTCCGTACTTCAATAACTGGAACGAGCAAAACTTGGACGTAACAGAATATTGTGAAATATTCAATAAACTCATTAAATCCTTCTCTCGAATGTGGTTATGATGGATTACTGGCCAATTTAACTAAAAATGGTGTTTCTGATACATGTCCTGCTTGTTAAAATATTTAACCTGTGCTTTTGTTGTGGCTTCTACTCCTAGCAGTTCATCAGTCAGTCAGTCAGCTACAACGTAGGACCAGGCACATATGTGCATCGGCCCAGGTTGCCATACCTCATTAGCACAGCAAGATGAACACCGGATTCATAGGAGTGGTTAGGTCAAAGGTTGCAATAAGGATATAGTATAGGAAGAAAGAATTAGTTCGTAGACAGAAAGAATGAAGTGATTTTAGTCTCTTAGTTTAAGGGAAGACAGGGAGTGTATACACCGACGCCATTGTGATCGATTCTGAGCCATGTCACCAAGAGTCTCCAACCATTGGTTACGATTGTCACGCGGACCCCAACCAAGTAGTCTGCATCTACCAACATGGCTCAGACTAGAAGTTAGTGACTTCAGGCACTGATGCCACGTTTTGGTTTGGCCGCCCCTAACTTTCTTCCAACCACCACTAACACCGGTTAGCATTGCACGTCGTGGTAATCGGTGTTCAGGCATACGTAATACGTGGCCCAACCATCTCAGTCGATGAAGATTCATAACCTCATCAACTGATTTGCCATCATTCCCTAATACCCTACGTCTAACCTCACTATTACTTACCCGGTGATCCCAGCAGATGCCAGCAATATTTCTAAGGCATCTGTGGTCAAATACTAGTAGCTTACGGGTGTCTTCTACTCTTAAGGGCCATGTTTCGCTGCCGTAAATTAAAACAGTTCATACGCCAGTTGTATAATATAAAATGATCTGGATAAACTCCAAGAATAATGTGATGCATGGTTCCCGTTTCTTCATGACAAAAAGTCTATGTGCATGTATTTGGACACGCTTAGTCCGCATGTAAGCTTGTTGCTGAACAAGCTGTAATTCAGACAGCTATGTAGCATTTGCGACCTAGGAGTGAATTATTCCAAATGTCTTTCATTCGTCGAAAAGGCTACATTCCAAGTCTTCGTAGCTCGTAGATATATTGAGTTTATCAACTGTCATTTCCAAAATAACCCGCTGTCGGGCCAGCGAAATGTCACTAAGCCATAGCCAAATCATCCGGCAGTTGGGTCACTGGATATTGAGCAAATCACCGATCCTAGTCAAGGTCAGTGACAACCAGCGCGCATCAGTTAATCGTGTACCATGGACTGGCCCATGCGGCAGTGGTCTCACTTTCGCTTGTATCTACTTTAACTAATATATTTCTGTAACGACGTCCCCTGTGTTGTACAGTCTTCAAATCATCTATGGTACCTTGGTATGTTAATGGGGTAGTCCACGTAAGGTGCTGACCATGAGGTGTGACTTCGATGTTAGCTAGTTTGTCACACCATTCACGTCTAACTCGAGTAGGCCTGCAATCATTTTCGACATAGATCGTCTACGTTGATGATCTACACCGCTACAAGGTATCTGTTCGAACTCCAATAAAAAACTGTCCGATAATATCCAGTTGCGTGCGTTCCATTGATTGACAGAAAATTGAGGAAGTAAAGCGTCAACATCTAACCAATTGGCACCTAGTGGCCGTTTCACAAATTGCAACTATTCCACTCCCGAATGACCTCTTTGTTCTGAAATGTCGAAGTTCAAACCGTGCTTTACTTATTTCCTCTTGTTATGCTTCATATTCCCTTTTCGTAACTCGAATAAATCTGCTCCATTTGATCTCGGCAACCATTGATCGTGTCACACAAATCGGGCCTTGGACCACGATCCAATAAAATCTAAAGATGTCACATGAACTTAAAACTTGACAATTCCTTAACCAGTAACATTCTTTATAGTCGAAACGTGCCGACCCAGTGAAATCATAAGTGAATGGATTTGAGGATTTATTTCATAGAAAATCGATATGTCGAGAAGTGACTTATCTAAGCTGGCTAGTGGATGTAGGAGATGTGAAGCACTCAATGGCCACCGCTACAACCGTAGTGAAATTAGAGACTGACCGGGTGCAAAATTAGAAACTGTTTAATCATAAGAAGACCAGAAAATATCCCAAATTATCGTTCGTATTCTACCAGTACGTAACATTTTATTATTACTGGTATGCGTTGTTTTTCTACCTACTTATTGTCTTATTCATGACATTTGCAACCTTAAGCTCCACTTTCATATTCTTTGATCAGCTACCAAATCTATACCACGTATACTCTGAACATTACCTTATAACTGATACCAATAGTCAACTTCATAGCACTGGGATGTACTAAATCAATGTTCAACCGACATTACAAAGGCTTCAGACGTCTGATTTGCTTGTAGCATGAAGCTAGTAGTGTCAGAGTATTTCAACTATGTGTATAACATGGAGCTTCGATTAAAACAATATTGATATATACTTTAAATGTAAGAGAGTCCAACATCACATCAGGAGAGATAGTGATGTTTTTGGCGTTGGTGATCCCTACGGTCAAGTGGAATGTCACGAGCGAATTGAATTATGCTCTTTGACCCATGACTGTCTAAGTAGTCATACTCCAATTGTTCCGCCATAAATGACTAAACTTTGCTATTCACGAACATTGTCCGTCTCGATTCTCGTACTTCACGTTTTCAGCACCCTCATTGTATATCAACGGAAACATTTGTGGAATATACGACTTAGTGCTGAGCCATCGCTTGTACCTCAGGAATTTATCTAGTACTACTATGGAGAAGGACAAACGTATACGTTTAAGACGACGTCTTCGACTGATTGCTCTGGAATTTAACTCCATTCGTTATCGACCATCGATTGCTTGTCGTAACGCCACACCCACGAAGCGCGCCGAATCTCATGTTGGACATTATAGTCATTCTAGCATTGTGCTCCGAACACGGACGACTTCAAGTTCTAGAGTTTCTGTCTATTTGATTCATGCAATTTACACAGATTACAGTGTCAATCTTACAGTATCTAATACTGACCACATTTGAAGAAGTACACTATCTCATGTTATGTTCGTGTCATTAACGAAATGAATAAATTGTTTACATTAGTGTACTCGTCGACATTTGACTAAGCAAGTATATATTCAAGATTCTAATGACTTTATCAGTCATCTTTCGCTTCGCCTACTTGGAAATCACTAAATATCATTTCAGTTCACTGGGACAAACTGGTATAAAAACAGTGGAACAATTTAGAAGTTCACTACTATATGACGTAATCGTTGATGACGCAAAGTAGATCAACATTTGAGATAATCCGTTAAAGTTTTATGCTCATAGGACTCAAAGTCACCACAAGTATTCACCTGAAACGCAAAGCTTAAACTTCACTTTGCCGCATATTCGTGTAACTCTTGTCCAATCACTGAAAAATGCCTTTTCTGATACGTGAAAATTGAAGAATTTGGCAGGTGACGTTGTATTCGTGTTGGGATTACCAATTGTAGCGTGGCGTCGAGTTGTGATTAACTATGAACACAGCTACCAAGAAACACGTGCCAAGCGAATCAGAAGGCGTAAGAAGCTCGTTCCAAATGACTCCATAAAATCCCCGAGAAGCCGAATACCAGAAGGCAATTAATGGACCAAGTCGATGTTTATTTGCTGGCGATCTCGTGGCATCGAAAGGATACCGAGATCGTGCCAGGATACAAGCTTGGTTACAGAACGTAACCGAATTCGCGCGAAGTTACAATCAAAGTGTAAGTATAAGAATGGAAGCACAAAATAGCTGTCATTAGCACAGTCAAACAAAAGCACGTTAAAACAAACACTGGTACAGTTGGTTATAATAATCATTGTTTTTATTAAACCAGTCGTGTTCTCGTGATAAACGTGAGTCACTACAACGTATTCTATCCATCCAAATGTGGTAAACCAGTTAATTTACTACAAATAACCATGCACTTAACGCACACAGACATTGAAGTAGTTTCATTATTTACATTATGCTCTTTGAATCACAATAAACAATTTAAACCATCAAGAAATTTCAAAAGTAACACTGGTTTTACCTTCGATTAGTGGTGTACAGCCACTAGTTCTGTATAAAATCCACATCTTGGGACACACGTCACTGACTCATAACTACTCAGAATGTTTTAGTGGCCCTAAATCTGACTTCACTTAGATGGTATGAGGGATAGTTATTGAAGTGCATGTCACTAATCCTCGAATATATTTTCTGACTGAAATCGCGTTAGCAAATAACTGAACTAAACAGGTCCAATTCGAGAATGGATATTGGATACGTAAACTCTGTACAATCGTTGATCGGAAAGCGGAGCGAAACAAAATAATGCCCAACGGAGAAGGCGGGTGAGCCAACTTAACTTAGCGAAGCATTAATTGACATTTATCGTCACACAAACATTAGTTACAGGTATGTTATGAGTCAGATAGGAAATCAGTACACACACGCTTACGTAAAATCAGTTAGGAAAGTTATTTGTTCTAGTACACATCCATAACGCATTCTGAAATATTCATTCTACATACATGCTACATTTGTGGTTACATGTAATCAATTGCATTTCAGATCGATTGC